TGCCTGATTCTTCTATTACTTCTGAATAAAGTCTAGACCAACCTTTCTAAACTTTTTTTTTAACCATGGAAAGAACTTGAAGTAATTTTCAGGTCTCAAGGAACTCCTGCTTAAAAATTATCTACACTTCAAAAACACAAAAAAGTTGGTCCCCACCCCCCCTAGCATGATCTATCATAGAACACATGGGTTCTAGGGAACCTTGGTTGAAAAACCCTGGTCTAGGTATTAATGCCATGAACATTGATAACACAGGCTTGCAAAACTGAGGGTCATAAAGATTTCTTGAGAATGTATGCTGGTTTTATAGGAATTTGGTATTCTAAATCCAAAAACAACCTCAGATTTGCTCCATCCAGATTTCCCCCCACAACTTGTTTTGATGTTTTCATGTTCTAAGTGGTAATATGACTTAATGAAATCCTGTATCCTGCAAATGTGTGAATCATATGCCTTCAAGTCCTTTCCAATATATGGCGACCCTATCATGGGGTTTTCTCAGCAAGATTTGTTCAGAGGAGGTTTGTCATTGTCTTCCCCTGAGCCTGAAAGAGTGTGACTTGCTCAAGGTCACCAATATATATTGGTGACCTTGAAAGGAGTTAAAGTCTTCTAATATACTTCTAATATACCTTCAAAACACTTTAACTTGCTAATTTGAAAAACAAAAACCAATTCAAAAGCATGAAAATAAATTGCACTGGAACATCAGGGTCTGCACTTACAGCTGCATAATGAGTGAATTGATAAAAAAAAATCAAATTTGTGAAATTGTGTGTGGTATGACATTTTTATTGTGTTCCCAAATTCAGCACCTAAAGGCAAATCCATGCTTCTTTTGTTGTTGCTATGTGCCTTCAAGTCATTTCGACTTATGGTGACTAAGGCAGTGAACCTATCATGGAGTTTTATTGGCAAGATTCTTCAGAGCAGGCTTGCCATTGCCATCCTCTCAGGCTAAGAGAGTGTGACTTGCCCAAGGTAGGCCTTCATGGCTGAGCCAGATTTTGTACCCTGATTCTTCAGAATCCTAGTCCAAGGCTCGCAATCACATGCTTAAAATGGAGGCCATTTTGAAATTCCTCCTGGAAAGAAGACAAAAATGTAGGACAGGTCTTATGAGCCCTGGTGGCGCAGTGGTTAAATGCCTGTACAAGGTTGTGAGTTCAATCTCAGCCAGGGGCTCAGGCTCGAATCCTTCTGAGGTGAGGTGGCCAAAATGAGTACCCAGCTTGTTGGGGGGCAATTAGCTAAGGCCACTTAGAGCCTGCTTAGAGTGATATGAAGCGGTATATAAATGAAGCTGCTATTGCTA